CGTCGATGAGCGATTGAGGAAGTTGTTCTTCGAGCAAGACCTCGGCAGTTCGTGGACGCTTAGCCTCACGCTCCTCAACCGAGTGTGAGTGGATGGGGACCAAGGGGTCCCGTTTGCTGGGCACCAGTTGAGGTGACGCGTCGACTGTTGTGAATTGCATCCTTGCACACGATGCAGTCAGATGTGATTGTCTGTGTCTTTTGATATCGTGGCAAGGGAGCCGTCCCTAGCAGGAGGGTGGAGGACGATGTAATAGAGAGTAGATGCGTCTCAGAGATGTGGGCGATGCTAGAGATATTCGCCTACGGAGAAAGCGGTTGAGTTTAGGTACGGAGAGAGGAGAAGCAGGAGGAGAAGTCGTTGACAGAGATCGAGAATGTAGAATAAAGATGGAAGAAACAAAGAGAGGAGAGAAGAGAGGGAGTCGAGACGAGGAAGGGCCACGAGATAAATGTACCAGGAGTCGGCGGAGAGAGTGGGGGAGGAGAACGGGAAGGGGGAGGAGGGTGAGGGTGACGCCTCGGAATGCCATAGTGAGTTAGCAACACCTGGACGGCAGGCGGGAGCCGGCGAGACAACGGAGAGAGTGTAATGGGATGGCAATCTCAACCGCCCTGACATGTGCTTGCTTGCGAAGTCGGGGTCCGGAAAGGGAAGGAGGGCGGGGGTTTCTCTGGCTCTGCCACTGCCTCGTCGTCTGTGCCACTGCCGTGGGAGATCGATCGCCGGAGAAGCGCAAAAGCAGGTTTGATTTTCGGCCGGCTTTTGCCATCATGAGTGGATCCCCACCTTGGCCTGTCGAACCCCAACTCCACCAAGACAGAGGTCACACGGACGGCACATGCGGAGCCCCGGCCTCGGCCCCATCGACTGGTATCTTCTCCGCTGTCTATCAGCGGGCCATTCATGGGTCCCGGGAACCTATTTCAGGGGGGCACGCTGCGGTCCAGGCCTCTCGGTGCTTTCGCTCCAGCTGACGTGCATGGGGGGAGAGCGCAGGTGGTTGAAAGAAATATTGCTTCGGTCAAGGCTACTCCGGCCCTAGATGTTTAGCAAATTGCATGCTGGACATGCCCACGGGATGGTCGGCAAATCTTTACGAATGGGATCCGCTTTACAAATTGCATGTTGATGCCCATCATCTCAACCAATGGCTCCTCCTTTCGTGCTCAGCTCACGAGGACGGAAAAGTACAGTCCTTCAACCGTTGGGAGAGGCTCTGTGAGAGTGACGCTACCTGACGTGTCCCGTGGTTGGTGGACAATCTGCGGGGCTGACGACTCTTGTACCCGCCCCCAATCACTCCCCCAATGCTTCACTTCCCCTTCGCGATCCATTTTCTTCAATATTGGGGGAATGTCTGTCTGTCATCTATAGCCGAAGCCAATTTCATGGGTTCGGCCCTGGCCGCATCGGCAAAAATGCCTGGCTGCATGGGTTGTGATAGATCTAGTCCTTAAAATAAGGCTTGGGGTGGAGTTTTGCTGGGAACAGGAGGCGAGAATTGCCGGTGACCGGCGCGCTTCAGTCCTCTTGGTCGAGATGCAGGCAAAAGCATCCATCTCAATGTCAAAGACCCTGCGTGCAACCGTGACTGGTCCAATGCAATAGTTTTTCTTTTCTTTCTTCTTCCTGTCGCCCCTTCCGTGCCTGCACCTTCCGGACATCAGCGACTGTCCCGGCGAAACCGGTTTTGGAATTTGGTGGAGTTGAGGTACACGTCACGAAGAGAGGAAGGAGGGAAGGAGCAACAGGGGCAGTGCCTGATCACCCAGGTCACGATGTCCAGGTCAAAGATGTCAGCGCATCGAGATTTTCAACTTCTGGGCTCTTTCTTCTTACATGTTTTAAACGTCACTTCGACTCTGGGGCCTTGAAGATCTTCTGCTCCCCAGTGTCCACAATTCAGTTACCCACATGAACGACATGCTTACGACACAATCCCGATCGCTGTGACGTTGAAGGAAACTACTGTATCTATTGACGGTTGAGGTGGATTCATCATGGAGCCGCACGTCGATCCTCGAGCAATGTGAGTTGTAATAACCCAAACAAATCTATGATTTCATATCTTCCCTGTCTGACACATGCAATGTCAATCAGTCTCGAGTTGACTGGACATCCACCCAAGCGCCAGCGCTCAGATAGTAGCGAGAGCTACGACAAAGTCAAACGCCAAAATGTTCAAGTCGACGAACCGCTTCCCGCGCTTGCCATTCTTGGCCAATGCCAAGTTTCGCAAGTGACAACTTGTGCCTTCGAAACTCATGCGTTTCTCCAGTCTAGCAACGCTAGGCCGGTTGAGTCCCCAGGATGCTCGTGGAACCCCTCTCAACAAGCATCGGAAGTGAACAAGCCTGACTATTTTGATGATTCTGACTTGGACCAATACTTGGACGAACTTGACGAATCTTCAAACAAGGCCCTTTCTGAGACTCAAGCATGTCAGAAAGACGGCACAGACATTATCGAACTGGAAGAATCAGATGAGGATGCCTTCACGGAGCTTTTGGATGAGGCTTCATAGGAAGAGCTTCAACAGCCACCGTCGAGCGTTGTTCGAGCATGGGATCGAGACTCGCGATCTGCGGATGAATATGACCCTCAGTTGCAACACTCGCCTCCCCATACAAACGTAAATGCGACCGGACTCAACACAGATGATCCCCTCCTCCCTGAGGACATGGACTGGAGTCAAGTCCAGAAGCATGCCCGCCATGGTTCAAAGCAGAATTCCGTTCTTCGCTCGCCTAGCGCGCCGTCCACGAAGAAGAAAACCCCGGTGTCTGTTGGAACGGAATCATCAGCGACGATCAAAACCGGGAGCTCTGACCCTGATATCAGCCAAGTCTTGATGAGACCCTACCGAACATTTGTTGATGTCCAGGAGATGCTGGATGCAAAGGAACATATGTTCAAGAACCAAGACAAAGCTGTTTTTGAATTGTTCGGTCGAGTTGTCTACTCCAGCCGCGAGAATTTCCAGAAGAAGCAATATTTTCAGTTCCGGAGCCTCCTCAAGGAACAGCCACCATATATCAACGGAACTCTGATCCATTGGGAAGTGGGGAGCCCTCGGGATATCGCCGCCCAGGACTTCTTGAAGAAGCGGCCCTCGCACGCCAAGTGTTTTTGTCGATGTCAGCTGAAGCAGGACCCCCGTGCCAAGACTGGCTGGGTTGTCATCGTGCTGGAGATTCGACAGTCCGGCTGGAAGGAGATCCAAAAGGTGATGGACACGCTCGGGAGAAAGGATCTAGACGAGCCAACAAGCTCGTCTGGCAAATGATTTGGAGGCGATCTGAAGTGGTTTTCACAGTCTGCAAGATGTAGAAGCACATCTCTAATTAGGTTCCTGCTAGTTCCATCAAATTCTAGCTATTAATGAAAATTTGTCTGACCTTGAGCCCATTCTATTCCGTCTCTCTTTATCAGTCTAGTTAATAGTTCCAAATGCACGATCCCTCATCCTTGAACCGTCTGGAGCTTCCCGTTAGGTACGGAAAGGTTGAGGTAAGGAGCCATCTTTTCCAGTACAATCGGTCTCAGCTCGCGCTGCTCCGTCTGTGTGGGAGCGATTGTGTTGCCCTCTCGTCGCTGCCAGCTCTCCTCAGTCTCGCGAAGGGCAGCATCCTCATCCTCACCAGTAGGATCGACGAATTGGTACGAGCGAAACTCGCAGTTTGACCAGCCAGTAGCTGTCATCTTGGTCAGCACTCGTTCAAAAGGGGGGGTTCTCCTTCATACCTCGTCCATCAGGAACACCGTGCCAGTCATCTGTCAGGAAGTGGAGGAATCCTCCGTGGGAGACAACCACAATGTGTTCATCCCCGGTGCCAGCAATCTCTCTCAAGGTTCTCCTGGCCTCCTTGCCTCGAACCGTGAGCTTCTCCAATGTGGGCTGATACTTGCTGCTGGGGCCTTTTTCACACCACGCCTCCTCCACACCGGTGTAGTCAGCCTTGCCCTCGAACTCGGCCTTCACCTTGGCCACAGGCGAGCCAATATCGCAGGGCTGAGCAGAGACCTCTTGGAAGACGGGCAGAGCGGTGATGGGAAGCAGGGACTCGGTGCCAAAGGCGTGGAGGCAGGTGTAGACGGTGCGGCGCATGGGTGAGGCCAGTAGCTTGGTGAGCTTGTCATGGTGGGGAAACGCGGCGCGGAGGGCAGCACACTGCTCCTCGCCAAGGGGCGTCAGGTCCGGGTCGGACAGCTGCTCATTCTCGATGGATAAGTTGTGGAAGCCCTGAGCGTGGCGGACCAGATGAATCGTTGGAGCCATGTTGTGTGAAGTGAGGTTGAACTGGATGAGCGATATATGATGAAACTTTTAAGTGGATGAAAGTTGGATGTCAAGTTGACGAGATGAGGGTGGAATAAGAGGGTGAGATCTCTATTTAAATCATCAGTTGACAAGTTACATTTACTGCAAAGGCGAAAAAAATCCATCACACAGCTTATGACTCAAGCTCCGTGGCCCGCCCCGCCGAACCCGGGCCAGGAACAGGTTTGCGTCTCCGGGGCCGGCGCCGCGTCCTGCGGAGCTACCCTCCTAGGTGAGTCGGCGTGGGCGGCCGCGGCTCGCCGATTGGCCCGCGGTGGGTTTACCGAGCTGCATTAGCCCGCCGGTGGGGAAGTGCCGGCGGCTCGGAAGCCTAGTGACGGACGTTTATTGCTTGGATTACCAACCTGCTGGATCCTCCTCTGCCGCTTCGAATTACTTGATTCGTACGTTAAGCTCGGCTTGATAACTGCAACGGTCAGCAAGCAATCAGTCACGTCACGTCACATCTGACCGACATTACATGAGACGGTTTTCACAAATCATGGAATTGTAGTCAGCTAGGTATGCCTGATCAAGTTGACATGACTTAGAATACATTCATTCTCTTCTGTAACAAACAACAAATCCGTTCAACGCCGCAGTCCAAGTCATCTAGGAGGATGGATCTGCCCCGAACAAGTAACCTCTTGGTTCACCATAGCCTCACTGTAAAATCTTACAACTCAATCAATGCCTCCTCTTTAACAGGCTGCTGCGGCACAGGGTCGTGCTGCGGCACCGAAGGGAATGACTCCTGGTTGTAGCCACCGTATGCCCAAGTTTGCTGCGCGGCTGGGGGCTGTTGTTGAGGTTGCTGCTGCTGAGGCTGGTGATGATGTTGCTGGGGCATAGAAGGTTGCCAGTAAGGCTGCTGTTGCAAAGTCGGTGCTTGCTGGGCTGGTTGCGAGGGTTGCGGCTGGGACGGCTGGGGTGCTTGGGTTTGCTGTGGCTGTGGGGGAGACTGGAGAGGCTGCTGGGGTTGCTGAGGAGCTTGGGGGGGCTGTTGAGCTTGAACTGGTTGGGCTGGCTGAGCAATCTGAGCCGGCGTCTGGACCGGAGTTGGTTGTGATGGAGCCGAAATGGATCCCCTAGGGTATTGCATTGATGGCTGCAAGTTGGGGTACGGGGATGGGGCAGCATCAGGAGCAGGTCCAGGTGCTGAGGGTCCCACAGGCGCTGGAGTCGGTTGCTGGGGAGTGAAATAATAAGAGGCATTGGGGTCACTGGCAGGTGCTGCCGGAGCTTGTCGTGGGGTCTGCGTTGGCTGGTTAGGATCCTGAGGGGGTTGTTGCTGATAGGGATCTTGAGGAGCCGAGGGCGCTCTGTTCTGCCAGCTGCCAGTCCGCTGGGGCTGCTGGGGCTGTGGGTATTGTCCCGGCTGAGGCTCTGGCGCAGATCCGTAAGGAGGATACTGTTGCTGAGGGATGGCTTGAGGGGGTTGCTGATAGAGTTGATGTTGAGGAGGCGCCTGGTAGCTAGCTCTTTGCTGGCCAGTATAAAAGCTTTCCGCACCGGCAGGGTTGCTAGGAACGTGGGATGGGATGGAGGGGTATGGGCCAGCCGCCTGACGAGGAGGTGGCAGGTTATAACCACCAAGGCTTTGCTGGCTATAAGCCTTGGACAATCTCTCCTCGAGCATGCGATCGTAATACCGGACTACTGTTGACAACTTGGCATGGAGATCCAACAAGGTATCTGGAGTGAAGTTAGTAACAGCTCTTCCCAGGCCAGTTCTGTTCACATACCGTGCTTACTCATGGTCTCGCCATAAGTTCGTGCTAGCTTTGGTCGTAATGTGCCGATGCTGTCGTACAGTTCTTGAATTTGCGGTTCGCGAAGGATAGTGCCCGGGGGCTGAGTCTGAAGCCGATCGACAAGGGTTGAAAACAGGTTGATGTTTTCCGCCTCCACAGGTGTCAACTCGTAGTCGTTCTTGGGGAGTACAAAGTTGGTCGTTGTTGAGGGGTTCGACGTGGCTGATGTTTGTTCCTTGAGCGCCGCAGCATGTCTCTTCTTCTGCTCCTCCATATCTGCCAGAGAAGCTGCGATCGCAGCCTTCAAATCCTCGTCCTCTTCTTCTGCTTGCTTGGCTGCCGAGGAGTCACCGTTGGCCGCGTAGCTAGTTTGGGCAGGCTCAGCATAGCCTCGAGAATGGGTCTTGACTTCTTCCAAGCTCATCGCCAATGCCTTCTTAAGATCCTCATCAAAGCCATCGTCGACGCGGGCATTACGGGGTTGCATGGCCGAGGTACTGCGAGTCTTGTGAGGGTAGGTGGGCGATCGGTCGAGGGATGGGTTGGTGATCTTGTGGCCCTTGTTGGTGAGCTTAGCATAACAGCCATCATCGACTCGAACTGGGGTAAGGATGCCCAGGTGCGGGAGGGCGACGGTCTTGCTCGAGCACTGCTGGTCAAAGCAGTTTCCGCAGTTTCGACAGTGGTGCTTTCGGTTGGTAAAGGTAAAGGCGGTCCGGCATCGCATACAGACTTCCGAGTCAGTCCACTCTGGAGGCTGAATTCATCGTTAGTAGAATTCTAGGCACGGGTGGTGAGTATGCCTTACCGCACTGCTGTCAATCATGCTGCTAGCCACAGTGGTCTTTGGAGGGAACTGGTAACCATCACGCTGTAAGGTTCGATAGACCTCTCCGATGTAAGAAAGCTCATATCGGCCTTCAGTAGCCCCAGCCCATGATTGAATAAGCTCGAGGATCTTAGACTTGACATCGGCGTTGACTGCAGCACCTCCGACTGCTTGGAGAAGCGACACTAGGTTATCCATGAACTCGCGAGAGGCAATCTCGGCCAAGAAGTGTGATCCGCCATTCTTGACGCAGGTATCGGTAAGCTTGTGCAGGTCAGCTTCATTGTTTTCGGAATGGCCACAAGTCATCATACATTCAGCGCGCTGAGTTGGGTATTGGGGTTCTTATTGCCGATGCGCCTCTTGAGGGAGCGCATAGCCTCTTTGGGCGCGACCGTCTTGGATCTGATAACATCGGAGATTTCGAGGTTAAGAGCAATGTCCTCACTGTCGGAATCGGGTCAGCCATGCATGATATTGGGGCGAAAGGTTCCTGTTGGCCTACAGGCTGCTGCTCGTGGCTTTCTCGATCTGCTCGTCCAGGGCCGTGTTGGCCGAGGACGACCACCAGCTCATCATCTTGAGGGGCGGAGATGATGCGATGAAGGGGTTCGCGCTCGATCGACGGAAAGTGGCAGTATACTTGAAGAAGACGCGATATAGGGGATCTGCAGTGACGACGCAGAATGCCGCGGAATGGATGGAATAGATGCAGATGTTGGTGTCTGGTCTGGGTTTCCAGTTGGAGCTCACTCCAGGCTCTCGTCAACCTTACCTAGCCTCAGTCACAAGGCGGCGATGGAGGAACTACGTAGTCGGCACCTCCATCAGGTTAGCTTGCGTTGGCCTGGATTGGGCGAGAGCATGCCCGAGCACTGATTCCACAGCAGCCAGGCGCCTAAAGTTGCAGGGGCAAGCAAGCACTTCAAGGCAGCCAGCAAATGCTAGCTCCACTGTACGTAAGTCTCCCCAGGGCATCCGACGCGGCCTCAGCACTGAGCTCCACCGTAGCCAGCGCCTCAAGCTGCCTGGCCTCCACTCCATTTATTTGTCTGCCTTGCGTCAGCGCGGGCAACGAGCCGCTCAACCACCGAGGAGGCTCCAGGTCCTTTTCTCTGGGGAGAATGACGCCTGTTGATGTGGCGTACGTGGCTCATGGTACCCCATGAACAGGGGAGGGGATGTGATACCGGTGCTGGGAGAGATGGTACCTAAGCTCCCCGCCAAAAGTGTGTCAGTAAAATGTACCTTGACTCAACGCCGCAGGTACCTCGTCATGCGTCCCCGCGACCACATGGCACCCTCCAACCTACCTCGCCCAACTCGCCGATGCGGTTCCTTTGTTGCCGGCGTGATGCCAACTTGAACGTCCCAACCTGCAACTCCTCGTCTCCTTAGCGCCCCGGGTCATGTCTTTCTGCCAAGGAGTTCCTTTGTCCTGTTTCTTTGAGCGGCTTCTTTAAGACGATGATACTCATTCTGGCTATATCCATTTACGTCGTGGAAGCGTTGATTTAATAGCTAGCCACCCTCCCCCGACTCCGCCACCCATGGTCCTGGCTCACAAGATATCCCGTCCACGTCAACCGAAGATCCCCGTTTCTCACGACCAGAGTCGCCATTGCTGCTTTCGATATTCGAGTCCCGAGTTCCTCCGCCGAGAAATGACAAACCGATAACATTTGCGCCCCCGATAGACGTTCATCATGGCTTCGCTGGGCCATTCGCGCGCGAGCAGCGTAGCCACCGCCGGCACACACACCATGGCCAACGGAGGCGCATTTGGCCACCCCTCTGGCCCAGGAGGCCGTCGTGGAGGGGACGCACCTGCTGCTTCATCAATTCCGCATATCGACGACATCCTCGCCAACCCGCGAAACATTGATGAGAATCAGTCCATCCGGAAGCTGCTCGAGGCGGCTCAGGCGTCGTTGCGCCAGGCTGAGATGGCCCGCGACTTTCGGAGACCGGCCATCGCCCTCCAGGAGTACCTCCGAGCGTCCGTCATTGCTATTCAGATCATTGGAGCCCATCGAGATTATTCGTCTATGCAGAGCGACCACAAGGATCTCGCCCGTGCTCATACCGCCTTCCTCAACCAGCTTCGTCAACAAGATCCCTTCTACGCCAAGCTTAAGCAGGATATCATCGCGGACAACAAGAGAACCGGCGTGCAGCCCAAGATTGGTCGACCTGGCTTGTCTCAAGGGGGCAGCCGGCCCCAATCCCCCTCCAAGCCAGCGGTTGATAGATCAATACCTCCACTGAATCAACAAGTCAATGGATCTCCCCGGTCCAGCATCAGTGGTCCTGTAGCTCGGTCGAAACCAGTTATTCAACCAAAACCCCAAGCCCTTCATGGAAACGCAATCAAGCCACCTCAAAGGAGCAATACAGCACAAGATCTTGCCGCCCGGTTTGCCAACCTGAGAGGACCGCAGTCTTCACCAGGACAGGATCCTCGCATAAAGACACATCAGATAACCCTTCCCAAGCCCATGGGACCCCGAGAAATGCCTCCGCCTAGGCCACCAAAGGTTGAACTGGATACCAATGTCCCAACTCTGCCTAAGATGCCTGATGCGATCTACAGCCCTGCTCGTGGGAGCATATCGGGTGAAGTGTCCAGGCCACCTATGAGTACGCCACGGGGCGTATACAGCCGAACCACATCATCAGCTTCCATTCCTGGCACTCCCACGGCCTCATCACAGTCTCAGCCAGATTACTTTTCTCCTCCTACACAAAGCTACTCAAACAACATAATCCCCCCTGTTCCTCCTGGGAACGCGATCAAAATCCCAGAAGGAGAGTCTATCACACCAGAGGAACTATACCAGGCCATGAAGGCCAAAGGTACCATTCTCATAATCGACGTTCGGGTTCGACAAGAGTTCAATGAAGGTCACATCATGTCCTCGTCGACGATTTGCGTCGAACCAAGTATACTTCTTAGGGAGAGTCCTTCGGCAGATCAGATTTCAGAGAGTCTTATAATATCACCAAACCAGGAACAGTCGCTATTCGAGCAACGCGACAAGTACGATCTAGTTGTCTTCTATGACCAAGATTCTGAAGAGATTCCCAAGCACCCTCGAAACTCGGACGATTTGGTCATTGTTTCGCTTCATCGAGCCTTGGTGCACTTCAACTACCCGAAAGATCTCAGGAATCCTCCAAAGATACTCAAAGGCGGCCTGGATGCATGGGTTGATCTTATGGGTGCAGCATCTCTGCAGTCAAACGAGCCAGGACCCTCAAAACCGGTGCAACTGCAACGAAGCCGCAACCGTGCCACGGCAATTGAACGAAGGAGGTCGAAGTACATTGTCAAGCCTCTCAGACCAGATGAGGTCAAGGCATGGCAAGAAACGCTCAAGAATGACGATATGCAAACAGCGTCCTCCCCCAACTTTACCCGCACAACAGAAGATTTTCTTAGGAGGTTTCCTCCTGTTTCTCTAGAGCAAGAGTCCATGGTTGCTCCAGAAAAGCCGCAGCACCGACCGGGCTACGGGTTATCTCACAAGGTCGACTTGTATACAGACCTACCTTCGCCGCCCACGCGACCAGCCCCTGCCCTCCCGCGGCCAAGCTACAGCGGCCTGACTGAGGGAAGGGATGAGAGCGAGCTTTATGGCAACAATAACACGCCTGCCCCAGGTCGCCTTGTGAGGGTGCCCTCGGCGAAGCCCATGGAGCAGCAGTCGACAGGTGACACCAACAAGTTCTACACGGGGCTTAACAACCCCCACAACTGGTGCTATGCCAACAGCACACTGCAGAGTCTCCTTGCCTCGCCCGAGTTTGGCCGGGAGTTGTCAAACTCGGGATGGGTGGAAAGATATCATGCGCCGAGGAAGGATGATGAGAAGATTGATCATCCCCAACTGATGATACGTATCATCTCCAACCTGTTCCATTGGATGAGCTCGGGCAAGTTCCAGGTTATGAAAGCCCAGACACTCATGGTGAGTACAATACGGAACGCAACGCAACGGTCCGATAGACAGGGAAGCTAACAGAGTCCAGGATTATTCACGTCACATTTGCGATCAGGGCCGGAGCATCGAGCAGTTTGGTGGCAAACAGCAGCAAGATGCTCAAGAGTTCATGTCCTTCTTGCTCACTCACCTTCACGATGAGACGAATACTCGGCGAGACCGCAAGGGTCAGGCTGCGCAGCCCGACACAACGAAGCAGAGCCTCCTCCAGGCGGCGGCTGATTACTGGCATAACCATCTCGAGTACAACCGGTCTATAGTCGATCGCTACTGGCGCGGACTCGAGCTGTCGACGGTCGAATGCTTCGAGTGTCACACCCGTACTTATCAGTTCACTCCCTTCGACTGGATCCCCGTCACTGTAGGAATGGGCCGCGGCATGACGCTTGAGCAGGTTCTCGACCAGCACACGGCGGGCAACACCCTCGACGACTTTTCATGCGACCGCTGCCGACGTCCCACCCGCGCTCTCCAATCCCTCTCGCTCGCCCGTCTCCCCTCCCTGCTCTGTGTCGTCTTCCGGCGTTTCCACTACCAACAGGCAACCTCCGATCTGCGCAAATCCACGGCCCCTATCACATGGGATTTCAACGATACCGATTTCACGCGCTACTTTCTTCCCCCTGCGGATCGCGCGGCATGTTCTGGTGTCGAACCCACTGATCCTGCGTTTACGGGTCCGTTCAGGTATGAAGCGTATGCTGTCATTGTTCACACGGGCAGTCGCATCGACAATGGCCATTACCTGGCCTACGTCCGCGACTCGTCTTCTCACGACCCGTACGCTTGGTACTGCTGCAACGACTCGCGCGTTACAAAGGTTCGCATAGGCCATGGCGGCAGCGACGACGCTCAGGAAGAAGTCTTCAAGTCTGGCCGAGATCGTGTACCTTACCTCGTCTTCTTCCGCCGAAAGGGGATGCGATAAAAAGCGGGACGCATGTTTCTGCCGAGGTTCATGACGACGACCCAATCTCTGGCTTCCCTGCTACGCACCGTCCGGCCGTCAACCTACCACTACCACAACTCGTCTGCAACCAATCCATGGACTCGGTAGCGAGACAAGCTCTTATCATCCCACGCGGGCAACTTCGTATTGCCTCGGAATTCCCGGTAGCGTCAAAAGAAGAAAACAAGACCAAGCTTTCAAAGTCCCAAGGGGCCCTCTTCTCATCTCGTTCCAGCGCCTCCATTGGGATACGTCGTGTATGTGTGTGTGCCTTTGCACCTCCCTAAACCACCACCCCCTGTCATGTCACCCCCACCTCGTCCCTGACGTCTCGGCACTTCATGACATGTGGCAGCCCTCTTGACGGCTTTTCCTCCGTCATTGGAACGCCATGCCACATGTCAAAGTCGTTCCCGTCGTCACCCTATCCCATTCGAATTCGTGCTCGCACTCTTTGGTCTGATTTGGCACTCCTTTTTTTGTTCTTCCCCCTTTGATATGTATCTATCTAGTCCAGCAAGCAAAGCTGGCACGGCATCGCATGGCATCGCACGGAGCAGGCAGGGTATATCTTTCTATAGCGTCTGATTTCCTCTCCTTGACTTGGGAGATGGCGGTGAAGCGAC